CTGTTTTGGCACCATTTGTTGCCATGGGAAAGACTGACAGCAGCATTCACAGATGAAATAAAATTAAAAGTGGCATCATCATGCCTTTTCAGCTCAACTTCTTGAAATAAAGGTCACCTAACTTCAAGCAGACAAGGACGTAGTCATCCCACTGAAATGGCATGAGTCCAACCTGACTTAACTAAGCTCAGGTGTACCCTAAAACTGTAATTTTGCAATTATATACAGATTCCATCAGCTATGCTGAGGGACCAGCTCCCTTTGGCCCTTAGTCAACTGTCACAAAGAAGCAGTCATTCCATCAGGCTGCACAGTGAAGGGAAGGAAGGGAAAAGCAGGAATTCTCTACAGCAGGCCTGCACAACTCAGCAATAGTAAGGGGTCAAAATTTAAAAAGTCTACACTTTGTTGTGCCGCAGACAGGTTTTTAATAATTTAATAATTAATTACTAAACTATTTTGCAAATAAACCAAATTATAAAAAAGAGACATTTCAATTAATATTAATTAGAATTGATAGGGGTTGAAATGGATGACGTCTGTGGTCTCTTCCAACTCTAGATTCTATGATTCTATACCTATGTAAGGCTCTGGTCAGGGTGCCTTTTGCTTTGCACCTGAGCTTGAGCTGCCTCTGATGACTTCAGCATAAGAAACTGAAGCTTTCCTCATGCATGCAGTCACCATTGTAATCTCCTCACTCCATCACCTCTCCCACATCTCCATCTCCCAAACAGGCCAACACGGCTCTTCCTGCCCTCACAGAGGCAAAGTATCAGGCAGATGGAATCACTGATGGTAGTGGAGGTAAGAGAGCCCTCGACATCCCTATCAGTCTTCCCAAGCAGACCTCACTGAGGCGCAGGTGGCATTTCTGGGTCTGGGGCATGGATAACATTGGTAAAGGGGCGCGGAGTGTAGGGAATGCAAGCTGGGATGTGTCTCTGGGTTGGGCTGCCTCCCCTACTTTTTCTCTGGGCTGCCTTTTTCCTCTTCAATTCATCTAGGACTGCCAGCAGGGGAGAAATTATTTTGGGGAGCCACGTATGGCATGTGATCTGTATGTTGTGCAGGTCTTCCCTACAGACTGCACTGTGAGACCAGTTTCCTCCCTCTCCTCTTTCCCCATGGATGTTTCAGGAACAAAACATATACCCGGCTGGCGAGAAACAGGGAAGGAGCATTTCTCAGAGAAATGGTATGAAGAAGACTGGACAATAGAAATACACTACAAATACTAGCAAATAACTTGATTTTCTAACATTATAGTGAATATATCAGTTATTCTCCTTTTTGTCATAACTTCTCCATTTCTCCATCCTATGTATTGATCCAGAGAGTCTGAAAAACAAGCTGGCATGTTTGAACGATGCTTCCACAGAACTGATCTGAAAGCATTCCTATGTAATCATTACTTTTTTTAAAAAAAAAATGTTTCTTTTCTTAAGATGTAAATAAAATTTTAAAGGTCTATTTATATTCCTCTGCTACTATGGAAGTGCAATATGTCAGCTGGAATTATCCACATATATCTTTGATTTGTAAATTTTTATAACACTACAACTTTGCTCAGCAAGTTATATGTAAACCATAACATTTAAAAAATATTTTCTGTACAAGAGAGTACAGAGAGCAAGCAAAGGAATTCTCTCCAGGAGAATTCATCAGTGAATCACAGTGAGGGAGGAAACACTGAAAAGGGGACTAAAAGATAAAGAGTGAATTATTGGCAAAATACTACTACAAGTAATTTTGAAGAGGAAGATGACAGGACCTTAAAAGTATGGGGAGGATAATCATTATTTGGGGGCATGTACCCAAACAATGTCACCTTAATAGCAATTCTACTAACCTTATTATTTAGCCCCTAAATTATATATTACAGACTGCTATAGATAGAAACCTTCCTATCCTTAGAAGAAGATCTATTAACTGCTCATGCAATAGAAATGAAATCTTAAAATTTGAGACACTTTATACTCAATAGCCAGCCAGCAAAAGATCTCCAACGGAAGGGATTGCAGTATTCAAAAATACACTCATTTGTCATAATAGCCTTTTAAAAATTAGTATAGTTATTCTGAAACTAGATACATTAGGATGCTTACTGTATAGTGTGAAAAAAGAATGCACTGTACTGTATTTACAATATTTTAGGAACATTTTTATCATCAAAAGGAGGTCTTTATCACTTTTCTTTGGCAGAAAAGTGATAAATACAACTACAACTCAATTTTAACCATGAATTTGCATATTTAGGATTGACTACCATAACTTTACTATCTTGTGTTAGATATTTCATGCAAGGTGGAAAGGAATTTAGTTTGTAGTCTAATTCCTGGAAAGGAGAAAAAAGGTTGAAATCGAAGACACTATTCTGCATCCCAACAAGAAATCTAACTCAAAAGTATGCAAGCTGGCAGGGAGAGCAACAAGATGCAATAGCAATAAGATGCAAACCAGCAGAATTATCTTCAGATTATGAACTTGGTCATATTGCAGTTACAAATAATAAAAGGGAGAAGTGAAGAAAAGGGGGTAGCCATAGCCATGAGTACTTTAACTCCTTTAAATTGAAGCTGTCACGAACCATCTAGGGAAAAAATATCAGACAGACAAGATGGAATGAAGTTTTGAACAATACAATCAAAACTGCACAAATACTTGAGAGAACGATAAGGATCAACTATAAACCTCAAAGTTGTTATTCCAATGATGAAATGCAAGCCCAAAATAAATAACTTTTGCTCGTTCCTGTTGTGCTAAGAGGTTTTATGCCAAGGTAAAGTGCATGTTCCTATAAAACACAAAGAGGATATAGAAGAAGAAGAAAAAGGATTCTTCCGTGTTTAGAATTACTGTTTTTCTGAAGGAAGAAAACTAAAGTAAGATTCCTTCTGCAATAGTTTTTGAACTTAGATGTGTTTTTCATAAGATAAAAATCACATTACAACATTCAAGTGAAGCCAGCAATTGTTTCTAATTAATTTTGCTGTAACTGTATGGATAATAGTTACCTATAGGGCATTTTCTCTCCAATACTATGCCCCAACACTTTCTTTTACAAAGCCCAGTTCAAGGAGTGACCAGCAGGGAGATTATTACATGCACTGTGTAAGTGTCTCATGCATGAAGACCAGAGCAAAAAGATACTGGTACCTTTTAGCATGTTCTCTACCTGTTTGAATTACTAGCTGACAACTGCTCGAGTGAATGAAAAGGCAATCAACTTGGTCTAAACAAGCTTCCAAAGAACATGGCATCCATGAAAGAAAAAATAAAATAAAAGAACAAATTGAATTGAGGAATCTGCATTGAATTCAGGGTAACTTAGGTGTCCAAGCTCCGTCACTATCCTCCCCCTGAAAGGACCTGAAAACCAGCAGGCTTCTGGGAATGACTAGAGTAGCCCTAGGCCCTACTCTGGCCAATTGTTAGGTCACTGCTCTGCACTTTACCCACTTCCAGGGAGCTCTGCTACTTCGCTGTACTAGCCCTGGCCCAGTCCTGTTATAGCTATTCAGCAGGTCAGGAAATGAATAGTCCCAGGCCTTACCCTGGCCATTAATTAAGATCCTTTTCTGCACTTTACCCACTTGCCCAGCCCTAGGTTTCCCCACTGGCCCAGCAGGCCTTGGAAATAAATAGCCCCAGGTCCCACCCTGACCATCAGGCAAGACATAGCTTGCACTTTACCCACTCCCCTGGGCCTAGCCTACTTGTACTAGCCCAGCCTCTCATAGTTGCCTAGGCCCACTCTGAAATTGTGACCATTGGTAGCTGAACTTTTGCCCGATAGAAATTAGTTCTGGAACTAGTTTTTAAATTTTAAATATGTAAGACTGTTTTATAGTATTATGTTTATACTGTATAACGGTTTAGTCTATATATATATTTTGTGTTGGTAATTGAATGCTTTACCTATGCTGGAAACTGCCCTGAGTCCCCTCAGGGAGATAGAGCGGTATACAAATAAAAGTTTATATATTATATTATAATTTCTTTGTGCATATTTAGTGAAAATATGCGAGAGTATCCTGATGTACATTTTCTTGTAGCTGATTATTATTATTTTTCATACAAAAATATTGACTCACCTATGAAAATAATAATTGTGCTTTGGATTTTTTCACAGATTTCTATATTCATATGCAGAACAAAAATACATTTGTATATATTTTGTATAGCTTGTAATGTTAAAATAACACTGAGAGGAATGGAGTGTTTGGAATGAAAGCTGCCTCACTTTTCTGTGCTCATGCACTCTCTAATTAACTCTATGCCCTCTGTTAGTGGGCCTTCTCTCTTTCCACTGTCATCAGCTGATCACTGTACACATTCTAACTTTAATTTTTAAAGTGTATATGTCACAACATACATATTTAAATATTGGATATGCAGCCCCTAGAAAGATAAGAAATGCAAAAAATTCACTTGCAATAATTCATTCTGAAATTGCCCCCCTTAAAATAAAATTGCCTCCTTCTGGGGGTGTGCCCCACATTGGAATCCAAGGCTCTAAATCAGGCCTGCACAACCTGTGGCCCTTCAGATGTTTGGGCCTTCAACTCCCAGAAGTCCTATTCGGCTTATCCAATTTCCAAGAATTCTGGGAGCTGAAGTCCAAAACACCTTGAAGATCACAAGTTTTGCAGGCCTGCTCCAAACCCTTCCCTTGTATCCTCCAGTTTACTGTTTTGGTAGCTGCAACGTATTGAGCTGACATTTTCAAGGCCCTGCTCACAATGATCACTGGAGAATTATGAGTGCTGTGAAATTTAGAAAGATAAACACTCCATCTACCAAATAAATAATAACCATAGGCAAACATGCTTGTCTGTGTTGGCTTTAAATATTACAATCTGTACACATCAAAAATGTCAAGTACCTTACAACTCAATAGAGATCAACTAGTCTAGTTTCTTTAAATAGGCAAAGGTATGAAGAATGAGGTTTCAAACAGCACAGTGCGATATAATGCATACTCAATGGTTGTTCACCTGGTATGTATCCCAAAGCCTTATGGTGCACCGCAGGGGAACTTCTCTCATCAGCAAGTTATTCATCCAGCGGAAAGCAAACTGAAGATACTTCACTTCATGTTGCTCTAAGTGTCTGTGTACTTGCTCTGAAAGAAAAAAAAGACACATAGTTTGTTCTGTGAGCTCCATATAGTTATAATGAATCACGAAAAGGACCTGTGTGTGTGGGCTACATGAATGTCCACATGCATGCATAGGCTAAGCATTGTATAATATTCATTTGACCAGCAAATAAAATGGGACATGACAATGGCGAAAATGCAAGGTTGCAAATCAAAGTAGACCAACATTTCAGACGTATTGTAAAATAATGTTGGCAGATACTGTCTGTGATAGTGTGGCACTGAGTTCAACATTACTCCAACTGCCATATATATTAATGCTGCAGTAATTTTACCATTAAATCACCACAATTTCTCACATTTCATTAAGAACACACAATTTAGTATTTCTATGTGAAAGGATGAAGATGGTGGTGTTGATGAAGAATAATAATAATACTGTGTTTGGTGCCTGACGGTATTTTGTGCTTCGAGATTCAACCTGGGGACTGTCTGCAAAGCTTTGAAATTTAGCATTATTCAATGCTACAAAAAATATGGTACGAACTTGGAATTCCATTCATTTTAAACTACTGACAAGTAATACTTTTAAACATTTTGTAAATCATTGAGGAAAAGTTAGTATTTGACCGATCTTTCCTTTAGCTTAAAACAATGATGCATATAACAACAAGAATTCATAAAACAGTACTTTATGTACTTGAAGTCTGCGAAGTTCTGCATGTTGATTTTGTTTTGTTTGTGAAGTGAAAGGGCACTAAAATACATTTTTGAGAAGGAACTCTCAAAATTTGCCCTGGACTGCTTGGAAATTATTTACTGTTGTCACAATTAAATAGCACCATCCTTGTTCTTGTTATTGTTGTTATTTTGTATCCAACCATTGAACAAATGAAACGTTTGCACCTAATCTTTTTTGTCTTGCTGTTGAAGAGAGACTTATAATGGGTGAGTTTAATACTCTTTATTGATTTGTTTTCAAATTCATTTGTGTTCTAGTTTTACAATTTCTTTAGCTGTGTCCCTTCTAAACGCAGCCAAAAAACCCCTAACAGGCTATTCCTAAAGCAAAAAGGGATGAGAGACAACATTTAATTCACCTTTGTCAAACATGAATGTAATGTATAGAACCGGTAGCCATCTTCTGATACGTTCTAAGCAGACTGCGGAAGGTGAAATAGTTTCATAAACTAGGTTGCTGTGAGTTTTCCGGGCTGCATAGCGATGTTCCAGAAACATTCTCTTCTGATGTTTTGCCCACATCTATGGCAGGCATCCTCAGAGGTTGTGAGTCTGTTGGAAACTAGGCAAGTGAGGTCTACATATCTGCAGAATGTTCAGGGTGGGAGAAAGAACTCTTGCCTGCTCGAGGCAAATGTGAATGTTGCAGTTGGCCACTTTGATTAGCACTCAATGGCCTTGCTGCTTCAAAGCTGCTGCTTCCAGAACATGGCCATACAGCCCTGAAAACTCACAGCAACCCAGTGATTCTGGCCATGAAAGCCTTCAACAACAGTTTCATAAACATTTTAATTTTTCAGCTCTAGTCACAGCAACTGCATTAATCCAAGCAAGTAGTTTTCAAAGCACTACTACTTGAAGAAAGACATCCTAGACCCTTGCCTTCACTTGAAAACATATTGCATGCCATATGACATTCAGACAGATATTGTCTCATCCAATCAAGGTAAAGAATAAGGACTGATGAAAAGTTTAAACAAGGACCAATTGACAAGAGGTAATCGCATGATGGAAGCACAGCATTCATTATAGGTGCTGTCACATCCAGTTTGTTCTGAAATAAATGTGTCAATGGAAAATACAACCAAGACATGGTATGAAATCAGTGACCATGGGTAGAAAACGACAGGCCCAGGGAACCAGTATAAAGTATATCAGTATATGTATGAATGAACATGATAAAGAAGACCTACTGTGAGGACAGGTTCCATATGAGAAATTTCACAGGGAAAGTACTCTTCTGCCAAAGGCATTAAACATATGAAAAATCACTAAATGATAATATGGGATGTCTGGGAAGTTTCATTCTCTGCAGAAGCTGGGTTGAAAGTCGAATGGCAAAAAGAATCATAACATGCTTTCCTGAAAGCACTTGGCTGCATACCATTATGAAAGGAACTGCGGAGCCACTCAATCTCAAATTGATGACAACATGGAAATCTCAGGTCAGCAGATGCCTGAACATCCTAATTACAGTAAAATATTTACCGTCTGTCTCAACATGATGACACCATGTGCATGTTGTTTCCATAGTAGAAGCCGTAAGATGGCCTAATTTTAGAGTGTCTGACTGAGAAATTGTAGTTTGAACATCTTTTCATTTGTTGGCATTCAGTTTTTCACACTGATAATGCTGTACCTTTTCTCTGGCCGCTTAAGATTATATCAATATTTCAGAGGAATGAACAGCCAACAATGTGATGCAGCGGCTAAAAACACCAATAGGATTTTGGCCTGCATAAATAGGAGTCTAGTGTCTAGATCCAGGGAAGTCATTCTACCTCTCTATTCTGCCTTAGTCAGACCACACCTAAAATACTGTGTCCAATTCTGGGAACCATAATTGAAGAGCGATGTTGACAAACTGGAATGTTTCCAGAAGAGAGCAACTAAAATGATCAAGGGTCTGGAGAAGAAGCCCTCTGAGGAGCGGCTTAAAGACCTGGGCATATTTAGCCTGCAGAAAAGAAGGCTGAGAGGAGACATGATGGCCAGGTATAAATATGTGAGGGGAAGTCATAGGGAGGAGGGAGCAAGCTTGTTTTCTGCTGCCCTGGCAACTAGATGCAGAACAATGCCTTCAAACAAGAGGAAAGGAGATTCCACCTGAACATTAGGAAGAACTTCCTGTCTGTGAGAGCTAATCAGCAGTGGAATTCTCTGTCCTGGAGTGTGGTGGAGGCGCCTTCTTTGGAGGCTTTTAAGCAGAGGATGGATGGCCATCTGTCGGGGGTGCTTTGAATGTGATTTTTCTGCATCTTGGCAGGGGGTTGGATTGGATGGCCCATGAGATCTCTTCCAATTCTATGATTCTATGAAATATGTTTTTGAGTGCTTTAAATGAAAGTTTTAATAAAAGTACTTTTTACAAGTAATTTCACCTTGCTTATTATGAGTGTATTTTGTTTTAATATCTGTTGTAAACTGCTTTGGGCCCGTGCCAGAAGAAAGACAGGAATAAAAAAAATAAACCAATTAAAGTCTATAAACTAATTATAGAGTAATTTTGACTATACTATATCTTCAACAGGTGTTGTACACACACACACTCATACTATGATAGAAGATATTAAAAACAAGTGGAAGAAAACAGATATTTATCAACTACTGTTTCTATAGTTGTAAACGATTTATTTTTATTCTGATTACACAATTACAGTTTTATTAAGAAACAGGGATTTTAGCAGCTATATTTTAAGAGGTTTACATACAAAATAATGTGTAATATGTGATTTTATAACATATTTTTCGAAAATAGCACATTGTTACTCAAGACAAATTTCAGCTGACCATGATTTTGTCTCTCACACACACACACAGTCTAAGCTTCTAAAACAACTTTCAAATGTTTCTTAGGCTTAATACCAACTTGCTCTCATAAGAAAATCAGTGGGTTATAGAGGACAGAGTACTAAATTTCAGCTGGAAACGCAGAAACAGCACACACCGGCTACAATCGTATTTTTAGTTCTGACCAGAATACAGCCATTGAACCAACTGGATCTACTTTCTGACATGACTCCCCATTTGTTATTCAATCGGTCTACCCTAATTGGGATTTATATATTTATATACCCTATTTATACCCTGCCTTTCTCAACCTTAGAGGGGACTCAAGGTGGCTTACATAAAGGCAATTATTCAATGCCTTAAAGCAACATACAATTCCAATGAAAATTAAAATTAATACATATTAGCCTGTTCTTGTAAACTGCTTCGAGCCCCAGGGGAGTGGTGGCATATAAGTTCAAATAATATATAAATAAAAAAATATTAAACATTTAAAAACATTACATTCAATATTAACCAACAGGACTTCTGCAATCATCTGATCCACTAGTGTATTTCAGTGTAGTATATCTTTATAGACTTTTTATGTGTGGGATATTCCTATTTTTTCCTAGGCTTCTTGATAGAACAAGGCAAACATATAACACACACACATGAAACCAAACATTTTCCCACACTACTATTCAAGATCCTATAATTTATCATGCCAACTCCAGGGATTGGATTCCAAGTTTCTAACATGCATAACAGTTTTTCTTTTAATGGGGGTGTGTTTTGTCTATTAGTGGCACAGTTAAGGGGAAAGCAAACATGATCATCATTTGTAGCATGTGCTATGATATAGTGAAATAATATTTGCCTAGAATTCACATGTATATGTTCAAGCTGACTGTCAACTTACATGCAGAAACTAAATCTAATTGCTAGTTCTGGCTAAAGAAGATCCACTGAAACAAAAAGTTTTGCATAACATGTGGTTTTAGCATCCATTAAATGATTCACTGGGTTCAGGCTAATTCAGACTAATAGTTAAGATTTAGACGCTACTGTACAGCATGCGTAGGACTTCCTAAAAGAAGTAGCTGATGAAGCTAGCCATATATCTTAGATTGAATGTTCCTTCAGCTATGTTGACAAATTTACTATATCACTTTAGTTTTTTCAACCGAATTTCAGTGTTTACTTACAAATATATACAACGGCTATTCACAAACAATAACTTCTACACTAGCACATATTAATATACAATTATTGGAAAGCCTCAGAACGGAGTGAGAAGCAGTGAGCTGGAGTTACTCACAGTTTTTCAACTCCATTTTTAAAAGAAAAAATATATATAGCTACTTTGAATTTCCCATAGCCTTGTCTGTATTTTGCCCCAACACATTGAAAAATATACAACTAAGTACATCACTTTATCTGCAATTTATTTCATAATATATGCAGAAAGACAAAAAGGAAACACAGAGACTGAAGCGATTCATTCCTCTTTT